AATGTATATCGTGATATGAATTTTTTGCCATATCGCACATTCCTACCAACTACACAACCAAACATACTACCAACCACACAACCAAGCATACTACTAACTACACAACCAACTACACGACCAAACATCCCACCAACCACACAACCAACTACACAACCAAACATACCACCAGCCACACAACCACCTACACAACCAACTACAGAGCCAAGCACACTACCAACTACACAACCAAACATACCACCAACCACACAACCAAGCATACCTCCACCACACAACCAACTACACAACCAAATATACCACCAACCACACAACCAACTACACAACCAAACATACCTCCACCACACAACCAACTACACAACAAACATATGCACAACCAAACACACCCCTAAATAACCAAACACATTACCAACTACATAACCAAACACAATAACACACTCCACCAAACACACTACAAAACACAGACAAACCACACACATCCATACACGCAACAAACCACACACAACCAAGCATACCAAACAAATACAGCCACACAACCAAGCATACCAAACACATACAACCAAACATACCAAACACATACAACCACACAAACAATCAAACATACCAAACCACACAGTCAGACTTGTTTTTTTAAGTAGCCCACACATAAACTGTGTTAAAGTCTGTAGGCTAAAAAATTATTATAAAACAATTACTTAAAGGGAAAATATCATGTAAAATCAACTTTTTTGAGTTTTATATCTGTCATAATGTTATACTCTCATAAAAAAAAAACATGCCCAAAGCCTTGCTTTGACTCAATCATGCATGTCTGAGAAATTCTGCAGTGTTTTTAGGAAGCCATGCTGAGGAGCAAAATGACAGGTAAAAATGCCTTTTGGGACCAGAAACGCCCCTGGGACGTGTCTTTAAGCCAAGCTTCCTCATCACGGAGCACACCTCCCCACCCCCTTCCGCACACACCCCGCCCATGACTCCTGCCGGCTCTCGGCAGTAACAGAGCAAAAGAGAAAGTGAAAGTGAAACTGAAACTGTCTGCTGATATCCACTACTTCTCACTCAGTGAAGCTCTTTTCAGATTCTAAATACCTTTGAGGAAATGTATTTTCAGATGCCAAGTTAACTGCATCATAGTGCACGCAAAAAAACAACCTTTTAAAATTTTGTTCCTTTAAAAGCCAAATCTCTATAAACCTGAGTTTATTATAATTGACCAGCTGAAATGAAATAATTCTCAGAGTTTGTTTGTTTGTACACACAGGCAGTCACCATCTATTAACTGACATAGGGCAGCAAGACAGAACAAACATCCAGGATTATTATTTCTTAACATAAAATAATAGTCCTCAGTCTGTAAAGTGAATATGTGAAAATAAACAAACTTGAGATGATAAGAAGTCAAACAGGTAAATAGTGTAAACAGCAGATACAGTATGTCTGACAATCAGGATTACATATCTGCATGTTAAACACTTTACATGAATGAATGTTGATGACTGAATCACTTTTTAAACCTGCAAGAGTGAACAGGAACCCGTCCCACCCATTTCTAACCTGAAAATCACGACCATATTATATTAACTTTTAGGGATATCAACAAATTCTTTTATCAGTTGATGAGATAATTAACTGGAAATGATGGAGATTTAAGGTATTTAATTTTCTGTTCAGGAACACTATGTTTAGACAGTTTTTTAAAACAGACTGGTGATCCTTTGCCCGTTTTTACTTTTGAGAGATTTAGCCTCTCTAAAACCCTTTTTTTAAACCCAGTCCTCTTACTGACCTGTTGATAATTAACCTAAATCTGGTCGTCTCTTTGTACCACTTACTGCCCATCAACACTTTGAAATGTGTTGCTGCCATCAAATATATTACCTTATTTTTTTTACTGAAAAAGATACAATTCCTTTTTGAAACAATTGAAATTTTGACTATGTTTCTCTGTTTTCAAAATACGGACAATTAAGATTTTCAGATAACTGCAATGTTTTTATGTAAATTTTTCCTCCCGACACCTGACACACAGTGGGTTGAACTATACTGTATGTGCCTACATCCAGCTACCATTTAGCAGAAACACAATAATTTATCCATTCAAGAACATCCTAAATTGTGGCTCAGATTTGAGGATATATTTTATTCTGAAACAAGAGACAAAATAACATCCTGTCCCTCAGTTCCCCTCAATGTGACACAAGTTTCCTGTTTCCTATTCAGCTTGGTTTGATGGTTTTCTGGACGACGATGGAGCTCTGAGCCTCGGTAATCAACTGCTTTTAAAAATTTAGGACATTTGACTCAAGATCAACCCTTTCAATTCCAAAGGACAGTGTCTCGAACAAGAGAGGGAAAACAAAAGACACAAGCAAAAACTTCTTATTAATGTGGCACAGACAGTATTAGTTTACTAAAGCGAATTATCAGTGTCTACAGAAGATAAAAGAAGAAGTTGACAGTTAAAAGCTTGCCATGCTGTTTCATGCAAACCTAAATAACTTCCCTTAAAGACTGCTCTGCTCACCTGGACAGATCTTGGTAGTTTTGCTGACGTCTCCGTTTTCGACTCGGGTCAGAGTGTTTTTGTCATCTACAGTGTTTCGTCGAGCTGCTGCTGGTCGTCCTTTACCACCTTTAGACATGATGACCGTGCTGAAAGAGAAGAGAGTGAAGGTTAATGAGTCTTTAATAAACTCACGATATGATGGCAGTGATGCAGTTTTTATATTAACTCAAATTTAGATTTTTGAATACAAAATATGTTCAAGGAAAACGTTTTAATATTTATTTGCTATGTTTAATAAATCAGTCACTGCTGGTGCAGCACTGTGTTGGCTGCTCAGTGGGTACCTGGCTAAAAACAAATATTTAACAGAGACTATGTTAATGAAAATGGTTGAGAACCACGTCTCGACAGACTCAAAACCGTCACAGAGATTCTTGTTTTCTTGCTCGAGTTACAGAGGAACATGGTCTTGTTTCTTGATTATTGAACATCTAATAATTTTCTTTACACACATTTAAATTCAGTCGAGGTGGAGCTAGTGGCTAACTCAGAGAGATAAGGGAAACCTGAACAGGTCTCCAGTCCATCACAGGACCACATGAGACAAATAACCATTCACTTGTGTATTCTCACTTATTCCTAGGGACAGTTCTGAGTATCCAGTTAACCCAGCGTGTTTTGGTCTGTGGGAGGAAACCAGAGTAGAAAATGGAGGTGCGCACAGGGAGAACATGTAAACCCCACAAAAAGGCTGGGAGGTGAAACTGTGACCCTGATGTGAGGCAACAAAGCTCAAACAATTTGTGAGGTTTTTTTTTTTTAGTCACAGCATTTTTGCAGGTGTCCATAACTAATCTCAACCAATCACTTTGACACCTTTAAAGGGGCAATTTTATGTGTTTCTCAGGCATATATTTAAATACTATACAATAATAAAGTATCTAAGTCACCTTTAGTTGTTATTAAAATGCTGTTTTTATGTTTAAATAGAAAATAAACCTATCTTCTCATCACTTCCTCTTCTAAACGCCTTGAAATCAGAATCAGGTTTATTGGTCAAGAATGTTTACACACACACACACACACACACACACACACACACACACACACACACACACACACACACACACA